GATGTTGGCAAAATTTGGATTAATAAAAGTTTATGAAAGGTGAAGTATGAGGCTGGAATAGTCCATGCTAAGGAAATAAAAGTACGAATGAACATTTCAGCAACAGATCATATATGAGGCAGCCCAGGTGAGTAATTTAATTGGGGGAGGTGAGTACTGCTTGATAGAACCAAGGGTTTGTTCAAGGATAACGGAGTTTGAATGGAACCTCCAAAACACCTAGGTGCAGCACAGCAGACAAACAAGGACAGTTGTTCAATGATTTTGTCATTAGGTCACCATGAAAATAGCAACATTTGGAGAAAATGTACTTATTCATTACCATAAAGCATCTTGGATCAAAGATCTACAGCTTTGGTTTAGAAGAGTCAAATAACTTTGTACCTTAACCTCTGCATGCTAGGTACAAAACCCCAAGTGTCAGACTATCTGAGAGAAAAATGTGCATTTATATTGCACTAATCATGACCTCAGCAACAAAGACACATCACAGTCAATGAAATACTTGTCAAACATAGTCACAGCTGAAAAGTAGGAAATGCGGCAGGCCATTTGTACTGTACAAGGTCCCAACAATGAAATAAAGACTGGATAGTCTGTTTTAGTGGTGTTGGCCAGAACAACAGGACGAACTCTCAGTTGTTTTTTATCTACACCTAAAAGAACAGACAGCATTCAAGTTTGATGTCCCTTCTAAAAGATGGGCCTTTCAGCAGTGGAATACACATTCTGATGTCATGCATGTGTCATTCTGGATGATGTGCTCAAGTCTGTGGTATTAACCAAAATTCCACCAACCACGAGGCAAGATCGCTATCACCGAGCCACAAATTATCCTTGGGAAGAATTTCACTGTTAAAAGAGATGAGTGAAACTGTATTACTGATATTCCACATTTATTGTATGCGTTGCAAGAATGCTGCAAGAAAACCAATTTTCATTGAAGCTGTACTTCCTTAACCTGTCAATGATAGTTCACCAAACTGATGATGTTAGTACCTGGGGTCTCCCTAAAACTCATGGTAACTCAGCATTCCATATTTGACATTTTCTATGCAGCATAAGACTTTATTTAATTGTGTATGATAGTAGTAACTAGCCTTCTCCCAGTGTAAAAAAACAATTTACTAGGTTCCACAACACTCTTGAGTGCAGCTCACTCAGAGATAGTAAGAACTGCCGATGCAGGAGTCAGAGGTAACACAGTGTGGAGCTGGAGGAACACAGCAGGCCAAGCAGCATCAGAGAAGCAGGAAAGCTAATATTTCAGGTCAGGACCCTTCTCCAGAAATGGGGGAGGGGGAAGGCAGCTCTGAAATAAATAGAGAGGAGAGGTGGAGCTGGGGAAGGTAGGTAGTATGGTGATAGGTGAGTGCAGGTAGGCAGTGAGGTGGGAGGAGCGGTTAGGTGGCAGAGAAGACGGACAGGTCAAGGAGGTGGGGATGAGAGGGAGGGTTGGTCATGGGATGAGGCTGGGGTGGGGAGATTTTGAAACTAGTAAAGTCCACATTGAGACCATTGGGTTATAGGCTCCCAAGGCGGAGTATGAGGTGCTGCTCCTCCAGTTTCCGGGTGGCATCATTGTGACACTGGAAGCGGCCTAGGATGAACATGCTGTCCAGGGAGTGGGAAGGGGAGTTGAAGTGGTTCACGACTGGATGGTGTTGCGCTCTGTTCGCGACAAACGACAACACCTTCCAGTCATGAACCACTTCAACTCCCTTTCCCACTCCCTGGACGACCTGTCCATCCTGGGCCTCCTCCAGTGTCACAATGACGCCACCCAGAAACTGGAGGAGCAGCACCTCATCTTCCGCCTTGGGAGCCTACAACCCAATGGTCTCAATACGGGCATTACTAGTTTCAAAATCTCCCCACCCACAACCTCATCCCATGACCAACCCTCCTTCTCATCCCCAGCTCCTTGACCTGTCCGTCTTCTTTCCCACCTAACTGCTCCTTCCACCTCACTGACCAATCCCCACCACTGCCTACCTGCACTCACCTATCACCAACCCACCTACCTTCCCCAGCTCCACCCCTCCTCTCTCTATTTATTTCAGAGTTCACTTCCCCCTCCCCCATTTCTGAAGAAGGGTCCCGACCCAAAAAGTCAGCTTTCCTGCTTCTCTGATGCTGCCTGGCCTGCTGTGTTCCTCCAGCTCCACACTATTATCACTGTTATGAGTGCAATGTTTTCAAAAACAAGAAGGCTTTGATTCTTTGAAGGAATGAAAGCTAGCCTCCAAATGGGGGAAAAACAGTGCTCACACTAGCACCATGAGTAGTTATCCATCACCAGTAGCTGAGAAGGTGCTTGACATAACAGCCAGGCGACTTCTGAATCAGTGGCGCATCCTCGTCTGTCATGGTTTCTTTGGCTAATTAACTAATGTATCATAGCTAAACTGCTATTTCTTAAGAAACTCAATAAACTATCTGAAATTTGCTACAAATTGTCAACTGCCTACATTAGGTAAATGTGGTCACAACTCCCCAAATCCAACAATGGAAAACACGGGCATTGCAAGGATGCTGCCAGGGTTGGAGGGTTTGAGCTATAGGGAGAGGCTGAATAGAGTGGTGCTATTTTCTCTCGAGCATCACAGACTGAGCTTATAGAGGTTTATAAAATCATGAGGGGCATGCATAGGGTAAATAGGCAAGGTCTTTTCCCTGGGGTGGGGGAGTTCAAAACTAAATGGCATAGGTTTGAGGTGAGAGAGGTAAGATATAAAATGGACCTAAAGGGCAACTTTCTCACACAGAGGGTGGTGCGTGTACAGAATGAGCTGCTGGAGGTGATAGAGGCTAGTACGATTAATTTAAAAGGCATCTGGATGGGTATATGAATAGGAAGGGTTTAGAGGAATATGGGCCAAATGCTGGCAAATGGGATTAGATTTATATAGGATATCTGTTGACATGGACAAGTTGGACCAAAGGGTCTGTTTCCGTGCTGTATGTCTCTGGCTCTACTCAATTCCCAATAGTACCACCTTGCTTATAACGTTCATCATTGTGTCAAAAGAAAGCAAAGATTTTTTTTTAAATAGATGTCTGTGAAATGTAATTATTGGTAATAACCATATTAGAAGATATCAGAACTTGTTTCACTTTATTGAACTGCTCACATGAAACATGGAAAGGCAATCAAAACAAAAAGGCAAACAAAAATGTTACAAAACCATAAAATGCATCCAGTACAGTTTCACTGCTCAATAGTACAGCAACCTTTGTTTTAGCGGGGACCTTATGAATCAGCACACTCGATAAACTGGCAAACATTATACACTGAAATACCGGACGTTTACTGTATTATCATGATCTTCAAAAATGTCTGAATAGTCAGTTGAGGGTGCGAGTGAGAAGGCCATCTGCCAGTAAGTTTTATTTAAGGCAGGGGTGCGTTATTATTTAAGTGATTTATGCTGCGAGAGCATAACAGTGATGTGTATACCCCCTACATTACATTTCTATTATTTAGTGTGTGTTCTTACATTGATTATGAGATCTCTTGATCAACCAGAATATTTGATCAACTGACACACTCCTAGTCCCATAGGTGCTGGCTAATAAAAAGTTTACTGCAATTGCATATTTCATTGGGGTTCATGGTTTATTTGTACCGGTCTAGTGATTCAGAATTGTTGCTCAGATTTCAATAAAGTGTCATGAATGCACATCTCAACTGTGGAAAAACTCCATAATGTACTAATAGATTTGATACCTATCAGATGCATTTTAAGGGAATATTATACCACACTATTAGATAGGTACTATTAATAGAAACAATTTGAAATGATTAGTAAAGCAATCATATACTCTCAAACACTGTGTAGAGTACATTTTTGTTTCACAATTTGATATCCACAATGCAAAATAAAGATCAGGAACATCTGACCACAGCCCAAATTTCCCACGTCTGAAGTTCAAACCAAATCAAGCATGTAGAGAAAACATACCAGTGGAAAATGATTTCAGAGATAGTAGGAACTGCAGATGCTGGAGAATCTGAGATAACAAGGTGTACAGCTGGATGAACACAGCAGGCCAAGCAGCAGCAGAGGAGCAGGAAAGGTCCCCATTTCCGAAGAAGGGTCTAGGCCCAAACCATCAGCTTTCCTGCTCCTCTGATGCTGCTTGGCCTGCTGTGTTCATCCAGCTCTACACCTTGTTATCTCAGTGGAAAATGATGTTTGACTCTCATTCATCTGAAACAGCCATCCTCTGCCATTGAATCCTATTTAAAAATTCAGTATTTTCTCTGCTGGCCCCATATTAGTGTCATTAATTTCCACTTCCGTTAAGTTACTAACCAGTCAATTCTCAATTTCTCCAGATTTTTCTGCATTTGCTTTTCTTCTTCTCTTTTATTTGAACCCCTTCTTCCTGCTTCTGCAACCCTCCCCATGGTCTAAACCACCTCACCAACCTAAAACCACAATATGGTATCACCTTAAACTTAAGACAGTCTGGCTACTGTCTTCATACTCATACACCATAAGAAGCACTTGTCTCATTATAGATCCCTTTTGCGCCCCACTAGTAACACTGTGATCCATGATTCTTTGCTTCAGCCAACTTTTATCCACTTCAGATTCCTTCATTCCATGTGGACTAATTGTGTCTAGTATCAATATAGAAATATTAGTCAGAATTATTTATCCATTAAAATAAACAACTTCAAATTATAAAAGATCAGCCAAGTTTAGCTTTACGCCAAATCTTGGCTCAAAAAAAAACTCACCATCACCTTCTCCAGAGCAAATTGGAGTGAGCAATAAACGCTGACCCACATCCCACGAGTGAATGAGAAACTGTTTAGCCACTAGGGTCTCCCCTTCCAATGCAATATATTCTCTCCAGTTTGTTTTCACTTCTAATTTAATGTGCGATGACAATGGTACGCCCATGAACTACTCTACATGTTGTTATTCAGATGTACCAGATTTATAGTCAGTAGCTGCAATAAGAGGACCTACATGAAACCACATTACCTTCTAAAGATGGTGCTTGGTCTTGGGCTGTATACAGCATCTCTTTGAAAGCCTGTAATATAAAATATTTCAGAATTAAGCACTGGTTATCATTTGAAACAGAAATCATTAAATCCCGACATCACTAAATAAGTTATGACTTACAGTATTCCCTGTTACAGTTTTCCTACTGTTCAGCTTCTTGAAAATAACTATTTGCTTCCTCAACCTCCCTCTTCCAATACACATTCCATAAACCAGTTTAGCCACTCTGCACAGTCTAATTTTATAACTGCTGCTCACAATTCAGAGGTTCCCAGGTAAAACTGCAAGTCTGTGCCAAGTTATCTGATCTCAACGAACTGCTAAGATAGGTGTCAATGAAGATCAAAAATCAGCTGCTCCAGACTGCTATCCTGTGGATTCTTCTGGAAAGTGCAAATATGTCATTAGGTGAGGACAGATATGGCTTGAGTGTAACACTCGCCATGATCAAATGGTCTGCTGACACACATCGCCTGTGCTTACATGTGAATAGATGCGTTGAAAATATTGGCAGCATCAGTGGCCATCACTGCCTGCAGGAAGAAGAATGAGGCTGTGTTCACAAAAAACCAAGAGAAGTTACAGCAAATCTAATCTGGAGTGAAAAAATAATTCCTGATATGAAAGTAACAGTTTTGTTTTATTTCAAATTGCCAAGGAGAAACTAAATATACTCCCAAGCAAACATCACAATACTTAGTTTAAGAATTATAAAGATGAAAAAAACGCACTAATATTTTCTCTAAGATCAGGCAAATAATGTACTACTATTCAACTGAGGAAACAACACGTTAAAAATCATTGGTACTGGTAGTTCTGCACCAAGCATGTACTTTAAAAGACATGTTTAAAGCAGTCATGCAGCAAAATTCGTACTTGCATGTGTTCCCAGCCCCACTACAATCAAGGATGGAGGCAGGTCGCAAAAGAAACAGACGGTAAATAATAATCTACCTACTGCCAACAAGAACATATCATAATACATTTGAGTTCAACAGTATAGATGAGACACTTTGATTATCAGAAAATAATTCCAAGTACGAGTTACTTACTTTGCCATAATTTTGCAATCATCCACATTTTGCATGACCTACAAAAAGAACTCCATGAGGTTGCTAAAAAGCCTTTATAAATCAATGTCACTTTTAGAATACACATGCACAAATTCCCTTCCTCTTTACTTGAATTCAAATAGCTCATGTCTCAATTCTTGTTATGAAATGTTTTGCTGTATACTTGATTAATTCCAATAGGTGTTAAAATGTTGTGTGCCTGGAGGACATTTCCACTGTCCTGCTTAAAATGAAGTACATTTTAGAATTTCTTATTGCAATGTGGTTCACAGTTCATTGCACTCTAAAGGATATCACTAAACAGTATTTTATTGCGAAGTTGAGTAGAGTATTTGTAGATTGGGAGGGAGGACATTAGAATTTGGTGTTTGTAAAATATTGGTGTTTGTAAAACGCTAAGGGGAAAGCAATGTGTGGTCCCTTTAAAAGATGATGTGTTTTTTTTCTACGATTAGAGATTTTAAAAAAATCTGTGAGCAGCTTGAAAGTCTGCAAGTACAGAGAGCACCCGAATTGAAACGTTTGTATCAAAAGGCCAAGCAGCAGTTTTGTTTTGTTATGAAGACAACAAGTTTTGAATACCAAGACAACAAGTTTTGAATTTAGCCAATCAATTCCAACCAGGCACTTAGATACCAAAAACCAATTAAATTTAAATCTGATGGTTTTGACAACATAGGACAAATACTATTGTAAGAAATATTGATATGTCGTCAAGGGTATAAAAGAAGAGAGCAGTTGGACAAAGACAGGAGAACTAACTGCCATCTGCCAGAGTTAACAGCTTTCAGATCTCAAGAGAGAATCACTGGCTATCATGAGCTTCTCTAAGTCTTATAAAAAGCACCATCTTAAAAAATCAAAGATGCCAACGGCACAACTAGTTAATATTCTTGACCGAAGAATCAACGGAGAAGGCACAGAGCATTCCAGAAGACACATAATATGGCTGTCATTTTGACAGACTAAATTTTTTAAAAACTATATTTTATAAAAGTAGGACTTGTATTTATCGGAACTGCATACTATTAGAACCTTGTTTGATTTGGGAATAGTTAAAAATTAGAAGGGATTTACTCAGTTTGTTAATAATTTAGTTAATTTATTCACTGTTAGAGTAAGATAAATAAATTGTTACTTGTTGTTTATAAAGTGAGTGCCAGGGATTTCTTTTTATTCAACCACTAGAAATTGCTGAAAGGCAGGTTACGCCACTTTTCACACTCCTTTTGCAGATTATAGGGCAAGGTGCTCCTCTTTTGTGGTGTTTCGGTTTTAGTTCTAGTTCTCAGAAAGGGGTCAATCTCCACTTTATAAAAATTTAAGGCAGATAAATAGCACGCTATTGTTCAATATATAGCCACGAACCTTTAGAAAATTTATGGTAATGGAAGATTCCGGTCGGAAAAATTACGTGCAAAATTAATTATATGCAATCGAGCAGTAACAGACCAGCTATGTTGTATGATTCTATGACTGCTCAACTGCTGATAATTCATTTTGCATTTGACTTTTCTAATCAAAACCTGCCTTTGTAACAAGTCCTCTAGAGATTCGTGGCTATATATTGAACAACAGCTTGGTATCGGGCTGCTTTTAAATACTGTTTAGTGATAACCTTTAGAGAGCAAGTTCTTCACGTGTACAAATTGAATGCAAGCACAAGTATTCTGAAATTTGCAAACTGCACTCTACTTGCCCTGAGTAGGAATGCGATTCATTTTGTTTAACAGCATGAAACAACACTTAGTGACAAAAGAACATAAACTGTGAAATGAGAAAAGACTGTTCAACCTATCAAACCTACTGTAGATGATTGTTATCTAACTGGTGAAATCCCCATGGCAACACCTCTACCAGTATCCACTTTCCAACCAATCTGCGCTCTCCTCTGAAACAGTGCAAACATGTTGTTTCCCTTTACATTTTATCTTCTGCTCAGGAGAATCCAAAGTTTCAACAAAATGTGTACCTTTCCAGTAAATTCAAGTTCTGTACTACCAAATGAACAAAGAATTTTAAGTAAAATGTTACTTTTTTCTTCATCTTTGTCTCAAATCTCCCTTGTAATTCTGCCTTTCACACTCAGCATTTCACTGTCAGTACATGATTTTGCTTTCAATTCGCTGCTCTAATTCAACTTTCTGTTTTAAACTCTGGCTAGCTCAGAAGATTTTTCAATCTACAGGTAACTGATAAGAGAATATATATTTGCTTACCACATTCACCCAGATCCTGGATCTCTGAAGAGGGTGTTTTTTAACATAGCATGACAGAACATACATTGCAGAAACAGGCCACTCACCCCAATCAGTTGATTTCTATGTTTGTGTTCCAGTTGAACCTCATCTCATTTTTCCACAGTTAATTCTAATGGTGTAGTCACTTTACCACCTTCTCCTTTACATGCTTTTCTAGCTTCAATTCAGCCCAAGGGTTGCAAACCGAAGGCACTGACAAATCCGTTGCAGGTTAGAGGCTGAGAGGATGGAATGTCTGCCATGTGGTGGGTGGGGGAAGAAAGGGCCCTGATCTAGGGAGTGAGTACATGGGAGAGAGGCAGCAGTCAGGAAGTGAATGCAGGAGGAGGCTGTATGTTGGGGAGTGACTCAAGGCATCGTCGTTCCTGTGCAGATGCCATTCCTGTGAAAGACTGCAATGAAGATGGCAGAGCAGGCAGCCTAGACTGTGGGGTTGGGAGTTCCGAGTGTGAGGAGTGCATACATGGGAGGTTGAGAGGGGGTGGGGAGGGGGGGGAAGAGAGCGAGAAGAGAGCGAGAAAATTATAGAGATGAGGAAGGGAATGTGTATGAGAGGGGGAGATCAAGAGCGGGTGTAAGAAAGGGACCGGGTGGGAGAAAAGGAGGGAGCAGGCAGGAGGGAAAGGCAATGTATGTAAGAATGGCAGGAAGGTAGTGAGAGAGATGGGTTATGTGTGTGTGGGAGAGGGTGAGAGAGAGAGGGCGGCAAAGGAGGGAGTGTGGGGGATGGACAGAGGGAGGCTGCGTGTGTGGTGAAGGAAGAGTGTGTGAGAAAGGAGGAGATTGAGACAGTGAAAGCACGCACTTTGCCAAGACAGCAAAGTGGGTATCAGAATGAGACTGCGAGATGTGTGCATGATGACAGTGACTGAGAAAGAGAGGTAGTGAGTGAGACAGTGCAAGTCTGGGGGAGACAGAGAGAGAATGCACATGCGTGGGACAGTGACAGTGTGTCAGAATGCAAAGACAGAGTGACACACCCATCCTCTCCTCTTCCTCTCCCCGCCCCCCGCTAAGAACCTGGCCACAAAGCAACTGGATGAGGAGGAAAACAAAGACTGAACAGCAATCTGTTTCCCGCCCATTTGTGTGTCAATTCCACTGAGGCCAGCTTGGAGTGTGCCCCAGAGCCGGACCAAGGTCAACAATAATGAAACTCAACCCCTCAGCTCAGCCCCAGCTCCCACTCTCCTTTGTGACTAGGATTTGGGATCTAGTCTCTCTCTCTCTCTCCATCATTACTTGAAAAAGCAATAAACATTTTATTAGCAGACTTGAAACGCATGCCACTTTTTAATAGCTAATTTTATTAATTAATTGTTTATTGAAATTTTTGACTTATCGATTTGGATTCGTTTTCTGAAATTCATATCAACTGATATGCCAACCTCATCTTTCAGAAATTTGCCCTTCATCCCCTGAGGGAGAAACAAATTGAAATGAGGCCTGTCACATGAAAAAGTTGGTCAAGTCTGTCTATACTATTTGCCCAATTACTTTCTATACAATTTAAGCTCCACATTCTCACTGCACTCTGTTAAGGACATTTCTTATGAATCCCCTGGTAAATTTCCTGGCAGCAATCTTTAATTGATGGTCTGAGAGATAGTAGGAACTGCAGATGCTGGAAAATCTGAGATAACAAGGTGTAGAGCTGGATGAACACAGCAGGCCAAGTAGCATCATTGGAG